AATTCCGGCGGATATTCATTCACCGCCGACTTTGTCTAACCATTTTTCTTCCATTTTTTCTTTTCACACACAAATTAAACTCTCAAAAAGATCTATTCATAAGCAAAGTAAAATACACTCAGATTTGGGGGGGAAAATTCATCATCGGAAAACCTTCCCACGCCGGGAAAAAAATGAAGTATTGAAATTTTAACTGGAAAAAGTTTTCTCAGCTTATATTCATTTTTATTTCTTTTGCTCTTCCTCCCACTCATAAATTACACTTTCAAGAAAAATTTATATATATAAAATAAAACACACTTAGATCGGGATAAAAATCTGTCGCCGGAAAAAATGGTGTTTGTGAAATTCCGAAGACCACCAATTTATGCCACCAGTGACCAAAACAAAAAGAAAGAGAATGAAATAACCAAAAAAAATGAGAATAATAAGAAATAAGAAAAAAAGAATAAGAAAAAGAAGAAAGAATAAAAAAGTACTAAAAATACATGTGGGGGCGCGTGTAGCTCACCACTTGACAAGAGTTTGGTTGTCTAGTTTTAGGGTGCAAATAATTTCATTTAAAATAAGTTTAAGGGGGTAATAGAATTCCCGCAAAGAAAAAGTGTATAGTTGAGAATCCGGGTATAAGATCAAGCGTACTTATGCATTTTTCCTTAAACTATCACATAAGAACCTCGTTGTCATTAGGATATGCCATTTGTTGTGTTAAATAACAACATGCAATATAATACTGACAGCATAGATTAAGAGTACTATATATTCTTCGTCAAGTCCATCTTTTACTACAAGAGCTTGTATAGTGCAATGGTCAAGCAAGATTTTGATATACAAGATAGAGACAAGGGCAGATCTATGTATGTAATTGAGGGTGGCACGCGATCAGTTTATATACATACTAGTATTTTTCACAAAAATGCCTATATAACCAACAAATGGCATCCCATGTCACAAAATGACCGAAGGTGCCGTGGTCGAGCTGTTGAATTCCCATACGCAGCATCCAGGGTAGAGACTCCCTAGATGTCCGAGTTTGTTCCTCTTTCTCCTTTTTCCCTTTCCTTTCTATTTTTTATGCTCCTTTTGTTAATTTCTCTTATTTTCTTCATCTTTTGTTATTCACTTTTTTCGTACACTTACAGTTTTAGTATTTATTTATATTGCATATTTGCTTCCTTTATCATTTTCTGGATCTTTAAATTTTCGAAAAAAGGTCAAAAATACCCCTTTACTATGTGAAAAAGATCATTTATACTTTCTATTATACTATCAGTCCATCACAACTCTTGCCATTATAGAATAAGTATAAAAATATCCCTCTGCCGTTAGGGCCCTCCACCATGGCCAATATCAGCCCAAATGGCCTAACATTTTGTTGAGGTGGATGCCAGGTGGCATGCCACTTTACTCTCTCCCTTAATTTTTTTCTCCAACACCACCTGAATATCCTTGTTCTGAACATTACTATATAGTTCCTTACGTTTCCCGTAAATCTATTTATTTTACAAATTCATCAAAACTCAAAATTTTAAACAACTTTCTGGTCCATTTCCACAAACCAACATCCTCTGTATCGATATACTTAATTTTATGAGGTTTATTATATTTGTTTTTTAATAATAGCTATACATGTAAATTACTGTGTGGGTTTTCTATAATTTTCTTGTAAATTTATGTTAAATTCTCAAAAATACAAAATAATTAATCTTTAATTGAATTGAATAAGATCAAAATGCGTGTAAGGAAAATGCATACACTGTGCTATATAATACTGGAGAGTATTTCGGAGATCGAAAATCAATTGTTGGGCTGACGTTGGTCCAATTCAAATAAAATTCTCATCCAGAATAAAACCCCATCCAAAATTCTCATCCAGAAAAAAACACAGTGCTCATCCAAAAGAAAAGAAAGGAGTCACATCACATGTACTCTATTTGTCTTTAATGGGTTAGTTCAAAGATGAAATCTTTCTTATTTGTTCATCATTCATTGTACATTGGGCAATTATATAAAACAAAGCTTTTATTTACTTGTCCAGTTGCTTAAACGGCAACAATATTTACTTCACTCTAGCACTTATTTCCTTGCGTTGCATTTCCTGAAACTTGGTTTTACTCGGCCGTTGTCTTTGATTGACTTGTCAGTCTATTTTTGCCGGTGATTAGGTAAAGGGGAGGTGGTGTTGGAGGAAAAAGAGGGGAAATGGTGAAATGGGATCGGAATGGTGAGATGGCATGTCAAATGGCATCTACCTCAAGCAACATATCACACCATGTGGAATGCTATTGGCCATGGTGGAGGACCCTGACGGCAGAAGGGTATTTTTGTGCTAATTCTATAACGTTAAGGATTGTAATGGACTGATAGTATAACGGAGGGTATAAATAATCCTTTTCACATAGTAAAGGGGTATTTTTTTACCCTTCTCCGTTAAATTTTATTTAGATGTAATTTAATCATTTTCTTTTTCTTATCCATCTAATATTATTTTATTAATTACATAAAAAATTATAGTGATGCATCAGACATAATAAAATATTAATTAGCTACATATAGATTAAAGGGACATATCACATATTCATTTATGCATAAATATTCTTTTAAATTGGATTGAAGAAATTCAAAACGGATCAAACCGAACCGAATTAATCCAAAACGGATCGAATCTACTGAATGTACACCTTAATTCAATTTTCTTCACTAGTGGTCGATTTGCATTAAAATAGTGGCACCCGCAGCCATCAAATCTTGGATTTGCCTTTGGGTAAAGGTTGTAATGGCGTGGGCTATACACTCCCAATACACTCTTTAGCAAAATCAGATATTGTTCTAGTAAAACGATAATGGAATGCTAATAAAAAATTGCAATCAAAAGATGACGACGACGACATACCCAATGTAATCCTATAAATGGAATTTGAGAAGGGTAGTGTACGCAAACCTTACCCCAACCTTGTGTAGGTAAAGATTGGTCGTTTCTAATAGATCCCCAGATCAAGAAAAGTATGTAAATAGAAGAAGTCACGTAAAGAAAAGCAGTAACTAAATCCAGGAAATAAGATAACCGAATCAAAAAGAAATAGCACATAGTATTAGAAATCTAAGAATGGGAAATACAAGAAAATACTAGTACTACAGGTGTAGAAAGGTAATATAGGTACGAAAAAGAACCGCACTCGACTATCAGTAACCCACTACCCTAATCCTTGACTTACACACCCTCTTATCAAGGATCATGTCCATGGCAAGCTGAAGATGCACCATGTCCTATCTAATCATTTCTCCCCAATACTTTTTCGGCCTACCCCTACTTTCCATTTGCCCCAGTCTCACATCTCCTCACCGGGGTATCTACGCATGTCTCTTTCATATATTCGAACCATCTCAGCCTCGCTTCCTGCATCTTATCCACCAAGGGGTCACAACCACCTAATCCAAAATATCTTCATTCCTAATCATATCTCTCCTAGTATGCCTACACATCCATCCCATCATCCTCATTTCCGCCATCTTCTGAACATGAGAATACTTCGCCGCATACACCATAGTTGGTATGACAATCACTCTATAAAATATGTCTTTAAGTCTCAGTGGCACTTTCGTATCACATAATATGCTGGATGCAAGCCTCCACTTCATCCATTATGTTCTAATACGATGTGTGACATCCTCGCCAATCTCCCCATTACTTTGAATTATAGACCCAAGATATTTGAAACTTCCTTTCTTGGGGATGATTTGTGTGTCCGACCTCACTTTCACGTCATCCTTCTCAGTTCCGCTGCTGAACTTACTCTTTAAGTATTCGCTCTTAGTCCTGCTCAACTTGAAATCTTTAAACTCAAAGGTTTTCCTCCAAACCTCCAACCTAGTGTTAACACCGGCTTGCGTTTCATCAATTAGAACTATATCATCAGCAACTAACATATACCATGGTACCTCCCCTTGAATGTGTCGTGTCAACTTATTTATCACCAAGGCAAATAAGAACGGGCTGAGAGTTGATCCCTAGTGCAACCCCATCATGACTAGGAAGTGATTAGAGTCTTCTCCCACTGTCTTCGCCCAGGTCTTGAATCCATCGTACATGTCCTTAATCGCCTTAATGTAGACGACATGCGTCTTTAGCCTCGAAACATCTCCATATATAAAACTTTCCTGGGACTTTGTCGTAAGCTTTTTATAGGTCAATGAACATTATATATAAGTCTCTATTCCTCTCCCTGTACTGCTCCACCAATCTGCTAACAAAATAAATGGCTTTTGTGATTGATCGCCCCGCATAAATCCAAAATGGTTCTCAGAAATGGTTAGTAGTCAATCACATAACTTTGAAATGATAACCTATAGCATCATGAGATTTTTTTGGATAAAATTTAGACTGATATTTGATTCAAATATCACAATGATATAAAGGAGTAGGAAGAAGAAGAAACATACCTTGGTGCCTTGTTGTTCGAAATTGTTGAAATCAATTTACTTTCAATAGTAGTAGAATAGTAGAATAGGTATAGGTGTTACTTGTAGTTGTTTCCTCGTAAAATTTCATGGGGTAGCTTATTCCCAATTTAATCTAAACTCATTTGAGCGAACTTCAAATGTTGCCTGCAGCTCCCCCTCCTCCTCCTCCTCCGTCTTCTCCTGCTTCTTTATCTCCTCATTCATCTGTTTCTTCTGTTGCTTCTTATTTCCACCTGAACAACCTCCATATGTGAAATTATTTTACCTTTTTTGTGTGTTTTCCATTATTCCCCAAATCTGACCTTACTCCTAGGTTTGTTAAATTTGGAATTACAGTAATGGTGGAGGAGTCGCATCTCCACCGACATCAATCTATGTAAGTTTTTGGGATCGTGGGTTGCCCATGTGAACCGACCGATCCAATCTTAACTGACCCATAAATAAAGGATTATCTGATTTTTTAAATAAAGGATGAACATTTGTATTATAACTGTTCAACCTTATCCTTAAAAGGAGGGGAAACAGTTATAACTGTTCAAATCCTTTTTGAAAAGGAGGGGAACAATTATAACGGTTCAAATCTTTTTTAAAGGAAAAGCAAAAGGAAAAAATCAAAAAGAAGGAAAAGCAATCCTGACTTTCTAGATTACATCATCACGCTAAAAGATATTCAGTTTGTGAAATTTAACCTTGATTTCCTAGTGAAATCAAAGGAGACTTGGGGCAGATTTTTTTGGTAGCAACAACAACAATATCCGTTGCGAATTTAAGGTACACAATCCGTTATTTTTGCTCCAAATTATATTACATTGGTATCAGAGCATGGTTGAATGATCCAGATATTCATGTAAGTTATTTTGAAATCGTTGTTTTATAAGTTTAGGTTGAGATTTTTTTGTTGGCTAATTTTTGACAAGTTTCAGAGAAAACTATTTCTATTTTTTTGCGCTTGGGTTATCGCTTGTTAAATATTTTGGTCTAAGACTTATATAATCATGATCTACTCATTTTGGGATTTCCGAAAATATATCATATATGAAAAACGGATTAAAAACGAGTGAGATATGATTCTTTGAAGATTGACAGATTTTGATTATTTTTCTGACGAAAAACTGCTTTTGTTTTCAGCGTTTTAGAAATAACTTATTAAATTTTTTTCCTAAAACTTATTTAATCATGTTATTATCGTTTTGAACTTTTCGAAAATATATTATATGTGAAAAACGGATTAAAAACGAGTGAGATATGATTCTTTGAAGATTGACAGATTTTGATTATTTTTCTGACGAAAAACTGCTTTTGTTTTCAGCGTTTTAGAAATAACTTATTAAATTTTTTTCCTAAAACTTATTTAATCATGTTATTATCGTTTTGAACTTTTCGAAAATATATTATATGTGAAAAACGGATTAAAAACGAGTGAGATATGATTTTTTGAAGATTGACAGTTTTTGACTATTTTTCTGATGAAAAACTGCTTCTGTTTTCAGCATTTTAAAAATAACTTGTTAAATATTTTTGCCTATTCATGATATACTCGTTTTGAGCTTTCCGAAAATATTTTTTTATATGAAAAACAGAATCTTCCAACTTTAAAAATCCTTTTATTATCCTTTTTATCTTCTACCAGAAATTTGTAACATACGTTGTCGCATTAAATGGTAACAACCATATTTGATTTATTGTTCCTATTTCAGATATGGCTGAATGGGAACATGCTCAAATTGCTCTAAATGGGAGTGATATAGATAGAGGAGCAAAAAGAAATAGCAGAAGAATGTGTCGCAAGAGGATCAAAACTCTAGTTGATTCAGATTCAGAGCCTGAAGTCATTAGAAATGATTCAAGGATGAAGCAGAATCTGAACAAAGAAATAAGGGTACGTAAAAGGGAAGGAATAAGACTTCTTGAGGATTTTAAGAAAAAAAAATGGCTCTTTTTGACTCTTTGCTTGATTTTCTCAGATTTTTTAGGATAAAATTAGGTGAAATTCATGTTGAGGATAGGGATGCCTTCGTCATTCTGTATTATTCTTTATCAGATCTCTAGAAGAATGAACTTATTGAAATCTATGGAGAAATTGGTCATAATGAATCATTATTGAGGTTCTTGGTGGCTCTAGGAGTGAGATGGATAAAAAATTTCCATGATAACTTAATTTAGTTAAGTATTTTTTTATGAACTCCTTTGTTTTATTTTTGATATATTAATGAATATATATCTTTGTGTTTATCCTATTTTGGATAGGCTGTTATTCTATGTTGCTCTAGAATATGGTGTTAATAATAAGACTCAAAATCCTAGTGATTATAGTCTTCATCATATTACTGCACATTAAGAAATTAATTTCTAGTTTTGGTTAAATATTTAGATTGTAGATGATAATTGGATACTTACATATCCTTTTGATTTTATACTATATGTGAAACCTTCATTAGAATTAATTTGCTTGAATGTGTATGACACATGCATAATTGATAAATAAACTTGCGTAATTGTCTCTTAATTACATACATGGCATCAAAAAGTATTATTGTTGACTTAAACAAAGGTGAGAAACTAAATGGTGACAATTACGACATCTGGAGTTGTAAGATATGGTATGTCCTAGAGCCGAAAAAGGTAGCATTCCTAAACGCATCTTTGAGTGTTGTGTATATTTCAAGCACTTCTTTACTAACTGAATCTTATCCTATGTGGATTGTAGACTCAGGATCCACCAACCACGTGAGTCGAGATCGAGAAACGTTTGTGGAGTTTCGTCGAGTTTCACCTGGATCAAGGTGGATTTATGTAGGAAATAATGCTAGACTTGAAGTCAAAGGAATAAGCACTTGCAAAGTACACTTGCGTGGTGGCCGATCTTTGATGTTGCATGACATCCTATATGCTCCAAAGATTCGACAAAATTTAGTATTTGTTTCTATTCTATTGGATGTTGGTTTTGATTTGTTTTTTAGTTGCAATGGTTTAAGAATATCTCTAGCTAATGTTTTATATGGTTTTGGACTTCGTTATGATCATTTTTTCGTTTTAGATTGTAATCTTTCAACTTATGACTATTAAGTTGATCGTTGTGTAATGGCATGTTATTACATGGCATGCAAGATTAGGTCACATAGGGCAAGATCGAATGAATAGGTTGGCAAAGGAAGGGCATTTAGGTTCTTTCTCCAAAATTGACATGCCAACTTGTGAAAATTGTCTTGTTGGAAAGATTACGCGTAAACCATTTGGGAAGGCTAAAAGAGCTTAATTCCCACTTCAATTAATCCATTCTGATATTTGTGGTCCAATGAATATAAGGGCAAGGTCTGGTGCTGCGTACTTCATTACATTTATTGATGATTTCACGCACTTTGGTTATGTCTATTTGATTTCTCATAAATCTGAAGCACTTGAGTGCTTTAAAAGTTATATAAATGAAGTTGAAAATCAATTAGATAAAAGTATAAAGGTTTTAAGAACCGATCGTGGACGTGAATATTTGTCAAAACAATTTGAAGAATTATGTACTGTAAAGGGCATTATCAGACAGTCAACTACTCCTTATACACCTCAATAAAATGGTGTAGCTGAAAGAAGGAATAGAACATTATTGGACATGACAAGATTAATGATGGCGCAGACAAATTTGTCGATCTCTTTCTGGGGAGATGCATTATTGACTGCGGCCTACATATGGAATAAAGTGCCTTCTAATTAGTATCTTCCACTCCTTATGAACTTTGGATTGGTCATAAAACAAACCTGAATGATCTACGACCTTGGGGCTGTGCTGCATATATTAAAGATTGTTTTGGTGAGTCTTGTAAATTAAGTCCAAAAGGAAAGAAATGTATCTTTATTGGATACTCAAAATGCTCCAAAGGGTATGTGTTCATTGATGAATTGGAGGATGGAAGTATTACTGAAATTGTATCACGAGATGTCAGATTTTTGGAAAATGATTTTGCAAAAAAGGGTGAAATAAATGAAGGTGAGCCTCTCTACGAATTGTTGAATTTAGAAGATCAGGCTTAATCGAGCCCTAAGAAGGATAGAATGGTTAAAAGCGATGAAAGAAGAATTAGAGTCCATAAAAACCAAGAAAGTCTGGTATCTAGTTGACCTTCCTCAGAGACGTAGAGCTATTGGGAATAAATGGATTCTCAAAGTTAAATGCAAATCGGATGGATCAATAGAAATACACAAAGCATAATTGGTGGCAAAAGGTTTTATTCAAGAAGCTGGAATAGATTATGAGGAAACTTTTTCACCAGTTGTGAAGTTTACCTCTATACGATTATTTTTGGCTATTGTTGCACGTTTAAATCTAGAACTACACCAAATGGATGTGAAGACCGCTTTTCTCAATGGAGAACTAAACGAGGAAATTTACATGGAACAACCTGTAGGTTTCGTTGTTAAAGGCCAAGAAAAGAAAAGTTTGTAAATTGAAAAGATCAATTTATGGCCTAAAACAATCTTCAAGGCAGTGGTACCTGAGATTTCATAAGGAGGTGATTTCATTTGATTTCACCATGATCGATAAAGACCATTGCATCTATGTGAAAAAGTCCAATAGAAAGTTTATAATTCTTTCTCTTTACGTGGATGATATTTTATTAGCTGAAAATAATTTGGAGTATGTAAAAACTGTTAAGTCATGGCTTTCAAAGTCATTTGACATGAAAGATATGGGTAAATCAGACTATATATAGGGTGTTAAAATTCAAAGTGATCGTTCCAAAAAATGTTTTTGAGTCTATCTCAAGAAACATACATAAAGAAAATTTTGGAACACTTTCGAATGAATAGTTGCAAGACTATGGATACTCCAATAGTAAGAGGCGAAACTTTAAGCCTTGAAATGTGTTCAAAGGCTGAAAAAGAAAAAGAAGACATGTCTCAAGTTTCATATTCTAGTGCTATCGGGAGTCTGATGTACGCTATGATGTGTACTCGTCCAGACATTTGTTATGTCGTAGGTCTAGTAAGCAGGTATCAATCTAATCCCGGAACAGATCATTGGAAGTCAGTGAAGAGAATATTCCGATATCTGAAGGGAATTGTAGATTATTCACTATGCTATTGTGGATCTGATTTACTCTTGAGAGGTTACACATATATTGATTGGGCTTGTGATCAGAATGATAGAAACTTAACCTCTGATTATGTTTTCTTACTTAATGGTGGTGCTATTTCATGAAAAAGTAAGAAATAAACTTGCACAACTCTTTCAACCATAAAAGTTGAATTCGTAGCTTGTCCATTTACAGTACAAGAAGCTGTTTTGTTAAAGAGATTCTTTGAGCATTTGAATGTTGCAAAGAATTCTAAGGACCCCGTGACTTTATATTGCGACAGTCAGGCGGCCATCGCATATACAAAGGATCCTAAGTATCACAGTAAAACCAAACACATTTATATTAAATATAACTTTTTGAGAGATATTGTAGCAAGTGGAGAAGTGAATTTACGATACATTCCTACTCGTGAAATGATAGCTGATCCTTTTACAAAGGCCATATCTAGAGGCCTGTTTAAAAAACATGTTAAGTCTCTAGGTTTGCGTAGGAAATGATGATATTTATGTATTGTAAAACAACTTTGTTGTAATGATATTCTCATCAAAGTAAGACTATTGAATTTGTGTCTCATATGAATGTGATAATGTTTTAAAAATAAAATATGCCGGACAAGTTGCGAGATTGGCTCTCTCACACGAGCAATTGCCTCTTACGTTAGAGAACGTAAAGAGCTAATTTTCACTGTCATGCTATGACTTGTTTTATAAACCAGACAAGAGTCTCTCTAAGAAAATGTGTGATGACCCTTTGGGTCACTTATTTTTAAATTGAATTCTATGTTTCGAGACCTTAAAAACCTCTCTTAGCATCACTTCAATTTGCGTGCACAGTCCGGGCGCGTAGCCGGAAAGCTTATATGTGAAAATCTGTGAAAAATAATAAATTTTGACTATTAAATGAATTAATTTGATTTGGGTCAAATTTTTAGGTAAACAGACCCGGACCCGTGATTTGACGATCTCGGAGGGTCCGTAGGAAAATATGGGACTTGGGCGTATGCCCGGAATCGAATTCCAAGGTCCCAAGCCCGAGAAATGAATTTTTTAAAAGAAAATTGTTTAAAGGATTTGGAAATGAATTTTGATTAGAACATGTTGGTATCGGGCCCGTATTTTGGTTACGGTGCCCGATATAGGTCTTATATGTGATTTAAGATAATTTTGTGAAGTTTCGTAAGAAACGGAATCCGTTTGACGTGATTCGGGCCTTAAATGCAAAATTTGATGTTTTAAGAAGTTTTGAAATATTTCATTGATTTTGAGGTTTAATTCGTTGTTTAAGGGGTTAGTTTGGCGATTTGATCGCACAGATAAGTTCATATGATGTTTTTGAGTTAGTACGTATGTTTGGTTTGGAGCCCCGAGGGCCCGGGTTTGTTTCGGAAGGTTTTTGAACTAATAAAAGTTGCAGGTTTTTGCTATTCAGTGCCCAGGAATTTTTCTCTTCGCGTTCACGCGGGCACACTCGCGAACGCGTAAGGCAAATCTCCAGGTGCCAAATTTCTTCTTCGCGAATGTGAAGCTGGTGACGCTAACGCGAGGCTAAGGGGGGATACCCTTCGCGAACGCGACCCAGCACACGCGAACGCGATGGCTTATGAGCCTGGGCAGGGGGAAAGGTATTATACCTACACGAACGCGACCGCCTGGACGCGAACACGAGGGCTCGAGGAGTTAGTGCTCCGTGATCGCGATCCCACTTACGCGAACGTGAAGGTCTCTCAGGCCTAACTCATCGCGAACGCGATGAGCCTGTCGCGAATGCAAAGACCAAATTCGTCCAGTTATTTTAAGTTTCAAAAACAGAATGCATTACAGGAATTCCACCATTTTTCATAATCTTCATCTTCTCCACACCTCTTGGGCGATGTTTGAAGAGGAACTTCACCTTAGCTTCATAGGTATGTAATCTTAAGCTCGTTTTCTTCCATTTTTATCAACACCCACTAGGGTTCTAGGCCTAAAACATGAGATTAAGGGTAGAAAATTGGGGTTTGGGTAGAGTTAGAGCTTTTTAATTATTTGGGAATTTGACCTTGTTTTGGGATCGGATTTCAAAACAAAATATATATTCGGGCTCCTGGGTGAATGGGTAATCGGATTTTGGTCCGAACCTCGTGTTTTCACCAAGCGGGCCCAGGGTGAATTTTTGACTTTTTGGGATGAATGATGGAAAAGCTATAATTAAGCATTGGAATTGGATTGTTTAGCATTTATTGATGTTATTAAGTCGATTATGTCTAGATACAATTGATTTGGAGTCAAATTCAAAAGGAAAGGCGGTGTTTGAGGCTTGAGTTGGCCGTGGAAGTTCGAGGTAAGTGTTCGGTCTAACCTTAGCTTGAGGGATTATGAGTTGTGTCCTATTTGCTATTTGCTTCTTGTTGAGTACGACGTATAGGCATGGTGACGAGTATCTATTCGTTGGTATCGAGCATGACCGTGAGTCTTAAATTGCAATTTACTTTGTGTTCTTAAATAGTACTACGGATGCTTTAATTGATGATTCTCGATATTGAGCAAGGATTAAGTTTGTTTTCGTGGAAATTGCTTATGATTGAGTATTGGTGTTAGCTGAGATGAGTAGAAGTTGGGTTAAGGTTGGTTATAGTTGTTTCTCCCTTGCCAGGATGTATTTACTTTTACTGTCGAATCCTATGCCGGGATAGCACAGTTTATTGTTGATCCCTTGCCGGGACTCTTGGTATGGTTGTTGCTAAAGGTATATAAATATATGGAACGGGTTGCACGCCGCAACAATACAATATATTGAATGGGCTGCACGCCGCAACAATACTATACATGGAACGGTTTGCACGCCGCAACAATGTTATGTTGGATCAGGTTGCACGCCACAATAATGTTATATTGGATTGGGTTGCACGCCGCAACAGTGATACAGTTGGATCGGGTTGCACGCCGCAACAGTGCTAAATGATAGGGATCGGGTTGTGCGCCGCAACAATGTTATTATTGTTTTGTTGTAGATCTTGAATTGTTCCTTCATATTTCTCTTAAGTTTCTACTGGATTTGATATTTCCCCCATAGCATGTACCCCCTCCCATGTTAATTGTTTATTCATGTTTATTTTCTGTTGTATATTATATAACTGCACAGGTTTATCTAAAGTCTGGTCCTAGCCTCGTCACTACCTCGCCGG